CGCCTGGCCCCGGGGTTCCGCGCTCCGAGGGGGAACAACGGCCCGGGGGGTGTTTGCTGCCGCGAGCCGAGGCCCCTCACCTGCACAATGCCAGTTGTGGGGGCGACGGAAGTCAGGAGCCAAGCACCCCAAGCGCAGCCCCGGCTCCTCCGGGCCACGCCAGCTTCGTGGCGGCCCCAAGCACTGACTGCACGGCTGGTGTCATCCTGCCCGTGGCGATGGTGCCGGAACACCGACCCGTACTGCAGCAGCAGCTCCGTCCCTCTCCAGGGAAAGGCAGCATCCCTTACCGAACGCAGGCCACGGCCAAGGTGGCTGGAGCTGAACGACGACTGGCTCAAACCACCTTCATCAACACCTTTGTAAAGGAGCTGCCAAAAGCCCCCAAAACAGAGCCAGGCCAGGTGAAAAATAGCGATTTAATCACCGTAGGCTTGATGAAAGTGTCAAAACAAGCCTGAGGGCATACACACTTCCTGGCAAATGTCTACATGCAGGGTTTCGCTGTTGCCCAAAACTTGCATACAAACCCATTGGCACTGTCACACCTCCTCCCTGCAGCTCCCCTAACGAGTGCCAGCTACGGCAGCAAAGCAAGCAGGGAAGTCACTCGCTCTCTCCCATCACAGGAAAATGAGGAAGCCACTTCCAAACATATATAACAGAGAAACAGGAGCGTGCTGCCCTCAGGAGCATAGCCGAGCGATTCGAGAAGGTGCATCGTAGTTAGTTACTTCCCCACTGCCCAGGAGCTCATGGGCAGGGTGTGTTCTGCTCAAGAGCGGATGAAGGTAGGATTCAGCCTTCACCTTAACCAAGGTCAGCGCTCAAAGCCATTCATGCCGCTGAACTTGTTCAGCTGTGCGCGCTCCTCAGTCAGCACAGAGATAACAGCCATCGCCAGTCCCTGATCCTCCAACTTTTTGGAAGAGGAGAGACTTTTGCACTCCTTTTCTGACCTACAGCAGCCTTTTCTACTGCTCCTTTCTGAGGCTGGAATACAAATTTGGCCTCCAAACACCCACCCTCATATCCCAGAACAATTACAGAGAGGCAGAGACTGAGAAAGCACTGCAGTGTCTGCTGAAGAGTGCAACAAGCAGCGATTACTCTGTGTCCATGGGTGCCAAATTGCACCAAACTAATGAGGAGTTACAGCGGGGAGGAGTTTCAGCAGTCAGTGGGGTGTGCAGGCTGGTGGCATGACCCCATGTCCTAAATACCTTGCCTTCCTATCACTTAATATCATCTCGTGTGACGCAGCTGGGATTCACCGCCCTGATCTCCCATCAGGAGGTCACAGGAACAAATCTGGGTAATTAGAATTTAAAATTGACTTTATGGGTTAATTTACAAAGATTCCTCAGAAAACCCTCACCCAGAAACACAGACAAGCAGCCAAGGTTAGGTGCACCTCACAGAGTGGAGGAAAAGGATAAAAAGGAAACAGCAAGGATCAACCCACAGGAGAGGAAATATTAAATACATAGATTTATTATGCTACATTTCTTATAAATATTTCATTCATTTCAGGCAGTTACCAAAAATAAAAGCAACAGAACCCTTTCAGGATGACCGTTGAGCTTGCCTTACAAACAACAGCTATCATCCATGCACTTTTTCTTCCAGACAAAACCAACACACTCATAAGGACAAAGGGTAATTTAAATAAAGGACATAATAATATTGTGCTTAAAACTAGATCGATATCCACAAGGAAGAAGGAATGTTGTAGTGTGTGGAAGAGGTGTAGGACATGCTTTGCAGAGCTGTTGCCTTGTTAGGTACCAGAGAACGTGATGCTTTTGTGCACTTCAACAAAAAAAAAATACACTAAAGCGTTCTCCCCCACCTCTGTCCTCCTGTGCAACGTTTACCACCTTCAATAGTAGAAGCAGCCAAACGCAGCCACCACACAAAAAAGACTGTCCTGGAGAAAGCAGAGAAAGGCTGCAGGTTAGTAAAGGAAGCTCTCTGCTAGCCTAACGGGAAGGGCTAACCCAAGGGAACATCCAGCCCAGAGCATCGCCTTACACTGGAATCTATTGCAATTCTCTGTCTCTCAGCGAGTTTCTTATTCACCTCACTTGTACAACCCACGTCAGTGTGCCTGGATGTCAGACTCACTTTACTCCATCCACACACCCGCGTGTGTCTAGGCGTCAGTTTAAGATAATAATAAAATAAACCCTTGACTTCTGCTCAGTCCTGGATTCCAGTCATACTCCACGACAGCAGTTCAGCAAAGCATGTAATAAAGACTTTATCTCTTGTGCTTCCTCTCCTCACCTGTACAATGGGGTGACGAGAGTGACTTCTGTACAATACTCTATGACCCGCTCAGGAAATAAGTTTTACTGTGTTGGCTATTATACCTAAGTATGTTTTGTGAATGAGGATGTAAGTCATACTGTTTCAATAGTCTCAGTTCCTTCCTTCTAAGGGCTGGGTTATTTTTCTGCTCCGTATTTAAGGTAAGCCTGCCTCTCACACAAAAGCAAGTAGCTTTAGACTTTCCCACGGTACTTACATTCATGAACACATCGTGAGCATAGCTGTCGGTGTCAGCATCCCAGAAACATCGCGCAGCCATACTACACAAAGGAGACAGAGCAGAGCCATTACCCACAGGGTTCATGTGTAAGGACCTAAGTGATCACAGATATTTTCCTCAAAAAGCAAACTGAGCTTCTTTTAAACATAAAGGATATGGGAAGCCTTCTCCTGAACCCTGAGCCTAGATGCCCGCTGCTGAATTCCACTGCATGCCATAAGCCCCTCTATATGTGGAATAAGCTCAATCTTCTTACCAGCTACCAACCCTGCCAGCTCCACTCTGCAGCAGGGCTTGAAACCTCATTGCTACAGTGCTTAAGAATCTTTGACTTCTGGCCTATGCGTATCCGTGGCTAATTTAGCGTATTTGTTCTTGTCCTTCACCTCCTGCACCCTTGGGGTACGTACTCCCAACTTATTTATAGGGAGCTATCGTATTCCTTGGCAGATGTCATGTTACTAGACCACGGGCTAAGCTCTTCTAGTCCTTATGTATCTACACTCTGTTCCCTGACCATCCCACTGGCCTTTTTCTACTCCTGCTTCAGTCCAAGCCCTGCCTTGAAGGCAAGCGACCAGACCATAACAGGATATTATGGATGAGACCTTGTGGCTGCCTTGTCTAATACCACTGATGCTCCTTCTCTGCTTCAAATGCTCAGCTCCCTGCCTGACCCAGTCAGTCGCAGCTGACAGGATCCCTGTTCGTGGCACAGCATGTTGTTCCTAGTCCCTACATGTATATGACTTAGGACAATAAGACTGTTGAATTTTATCCTTTTTTTCCTATTATATTAACCTTCAGGGTTATTCTGCCCCCTTTTTTCCACCCCCACCCCAGTCCAATATTCTACCCTGTCTCTGGAATACCCAGTGACCCAGTATTTTGCATTACGGATGTTAGTGATCATGCTTCAGTCGCCTTCTGCCTGTTGCAAGCTAGAGAATTTCCTCAATTCCTCTGTCAGTGTTGCTGGGCTTCACATTCCAAATCAGACCACCTTCTAGAACAGTCTGCCTGCAGCCAGACACTTCTGACAAAAGCCTGAGCAGCAGGTACAGACATTCCTTCCTGACCTCCAGAACTGATTACAGCTCTGCTGCACTTATCTTCTTCAGGAGTACCAGGCACAATAATAAAGATAAGCCTAGCAGATAAAGCACATAAACCTTGTGGGTTGTTCTCTTTTGTACTCACTAGTAATGGAAAGCTACAGCCCACTACTGCAGCCAAGAGGAATTCTTTTGTCTGGTTGCAGGCACCTGGAGCTAGATTGCAAGTGCTCAGCACCCACAGTTGGCTGGGTTCCCATGACAGGATTGCATGGGGATTATAGAAGCTTCAAACTTCTGCACATTGCCCACCTGGGGGGATTAAATGGAAATGAAGTAGTTAAGGAAACCTGTCTTTAGACAGAAGTGAGTTACCATGTGCTCCATCAGGGCCTTGAGAATGGACTGAGTGTGTGATCTAGTTCATCATAAATACAGCGTAAAATGCCTTTCTGCAAGGCTCCTCAAATGCTTTTCAGCATCTCAGCTTGCTAAGAACCACCCTGCAGCCAGTTATCACTGGGTAATTCAATCAGCCACAACCCCAGCCCTCACTTGACACTTAAAGAGAAAAGGAAGTGCTTTACACTTTGTCATCTGGAGAGAGATCTGTGTACCTAAGAAAGTTCAAAGCAGCTTCCAAATGAAAAAAAACCAAACCACCCAAACCCAACAAAAATTATAGAAATACAATCAGAAGATGCAAAACTTACTTCACTCCTTCTCCTCTCTGCTCTCCAATCACAACCTGCACCACCATTTTGTACCTGTCAAATCCCTCCTCTGGAGAGAGAAAAAAAAATAGTGAGGACAACAACTTGTTTAAAATATGAGCACGAGACAGGACCCAGAAGGCTAAAGATTTCTGGTTATAAAGCAAGTGTCCTGTACCAATCCATGCAGTTGGCAGAGCAGACAGACTGCCTTGTGGTGTCATTGACACAGGTACAGAGTACCTAGGTCAATGTTGGAGTTAAAGGGTGAACAGGGCAGCTGTCAGCTGTCAAAAGATGCACCTGAGGCTGACGGCACCCCTGAACAGCCACTCTGTATGTCAGCGTTCTACCCTGACAACTTTCAAGAACTGAACACACGGAAAGGATGTAAATAAGGCTGCTGGTGGGCAAAATCCAAGTTGAAAAAAATTGGCTTATTTTAAAACAGTTCTCATGCAAAGGTATTGCTGAGATTTTTCTGCCACATAGGTGTTTCCTTTGCTTCTGAGCCGGGATAAAAGGCCACATAAAAGCATACGCAGGTCTACATTATGTGCCCGCAAAGATACGCAGTTGTTTTGCAACAGTAAATAAATACCTTTGGGGCACAGGCCACATCCAATCAGGCCATGACAATGTTCCAGAAGCCAAATCACAACAAGCATGTTTAAAATAAAATATAGATGCTAATGCCTTGTCTTCAACAAATCGGCATCCTGGGAAGAATCCAGAGCCCTGTTTCCACTGGAGGATTGAAGATAACATGCTGAGTCTGGAAACATCCACCATGTCTACACTGGGCCAGTCTCGCTTCAGGCTACTGCCGGTCTGTTTATAGAGTACTGAAGCCAAGCTCTGTGTGTGTTAGCTCAGCATCAACACGTGCAGGGACTACAGCAGCTGCTGGTTTCAAAGCAAATACATAACTCTGGGAGCAGCATAAATCCACAGTTCCTGCGGAGGGTGAGGGTCCCTGTGCCACCACGTCAGGCCAGCCCAGCAGATGGAGCACCAGCCTGTCCCTGAGAAGCAGGCAAAAAAAACATGACCATAGCAGCTCGCACCTATGTACTTGTTCCAGCACTGAACACAGAAAACACCTGTCGGAACCTGAAGTTTAGTTCTTGAACTGAAAGATGCTGGAGGGCATCCTGCGCAGCAACACCACGACCTTTTTCCAGTGCTGTAAGGCTGTCATCACACCCCTCCTTGGCTCACTGGGCTCCTAACTCTCTCCCCCTTCGCTGCTCCTGTGGGGCCATCTCCCTGCTATTCCACTCTGATCTAATTTGCAGCAGAAAAAAAGCAGTTTATTGAAGCAAGAAGCAATGAAGCATCAATTCTTCCTTCTCTCTAATGCATCTTCTTTCCCTGCCGCGGCCCCGCTAAGGCTCACATTCCACACCAGCCAGTCTGTACGAAAACAAATCTTGTCTGTTTGAAACAGGTCTCTAGTCCCGCAGGCAAAGAACATACGTATATAGGCCAGATCGTTTCATAACAGTAGACTCGAGTCAGTTAAAAGGGAAGGAATTGTTTCAAGAATAAAGGAGGAAAGAGGGATTTTGCCAAAGGGAGAGGACACAGTAAGAAAAGAAACAACGACCCCAGCAAACCTCCTTACCTTTCAGTCTGTCTTTTATTATCTCTGATAAAGACTTTGTAAGCTGAGGCATTTCTTCTGGGATGTACTGTACATTGGCCAGTTTCTCCTTCAGTATAGCATGGATGCATTCTTTTACTGTGGCCGATTTAAATCTGTAAGGGCAAAAAGACAGTAACAGAAGGCCCAGAAAGCTCCCACAACATGTAGAAACGTACATAATCCCACGTAGAAAAAAATCAGCTTTCGCATATTAAAGAACATAATGAATAGCCACGGGGGAAAGAAAGTCCAGCTGAGATG